ACCCAAACCAAACCTACTGCCGTTGGGTCGATTCTGACTCATAGTGACCCTATAGGACAGAGTTGCACTGCCTCATAGGGTTTCCAAGGAGCGGCTGGTGGATTCCAACTGCCAACCTTTCGGTTAACAGGCCAGCTCTTAACCACTGCGCCATCAGGGTTTCAAAAAGCATAAAGGATGTTTAAAAACCAGCCATAATTCCAATATCAGAGACAATCATTGTTGATATCTGTTAATGTCTCTCTGAAGCCCTGGTGGAGCAGTGGTTAAGTGTTCGGCTGCTAACCAAAAGGTCGGCAGTTTGAATCCACCAGCCACTCCTTGGAAACCCTATGGAGCAGTTCTACTCTGTCCTATAGAATCGCTATGAGTAAGAATCAACTCGACAGCAATTTTTTTTTTTTTAATGTCTCTCTAGGCCTTTCCCTGTACACAGACAAAAACTCGACATAATCATAAAACTATACATACTGTTTTGTTCTTTTTCTCCATTTCATAACATACATGTCTCCCTCTGAAGGTTTTTATATCTAACCAGTTACCACCCAGAGGAGACTGCTGCTGTCCATGTAGCCACAAAAATCTCAGTAGGATAAGAGAGATCCTGGATAGGCACCAACAATTATGCCTCACTGGTATTAGCCACACTATGTCTTTTCTTCTGTGTTTTCATCTTCTTTCTCTGACATTTCACACTCTTTTGGTTCTAGCCACCTCACCACTGGGCCCTCACACCATGTGAAGTGTTTCTTCTGTTCATTGTGTTAATATGGTTGTACTGCAGTTTGTTATTATCTAGAGACAAATTGAAATAGATTATGTTCCCCTCAATTATAGATTCAACATTGATGCAAGGATCCCAGGCAAGGTGAATCAACCAAACCAAACCCATTGCTGTCGAGTTGATTCCGACTCACAGCAACCCTACAGGACAGAGCAGAACTGCCCCACAGGGTTTCCAAGGAGTGGGCGGTGGATTTGAACTGCTGACGTTTTGATTAGCAGCCAAACTCTTAACCACTGCACCACCAGGGCTCCAGGCAAGCTGAAGAGCTAGCTAAATAAGCTAATTAAGCCAGCAGGATTGTCACCTATAAGGACAAACTCAGTATGTGGTTTTGTAAGGCTAACAAGGCAAAAGCGTACCTAGAGGGTGAAGTGGGAACCAGAGACCTGACAGATGGCCAAGGATCTGGTCCCACCAGGCCAGATTACATACTCCTTACGAATAAGAGGCCAAGGACTGGATTCTAGAAAAACAGGTGATGAGAGCCCTGTCATAAGATTATTTTTTTTTCGGCTTTCTAAAAATATTATGTTTTCAAGTAGAACTGAAGTACAATAAATTGCATGTATTTGAAGTGCACAATTTGATAAATTTTGATGTATGTATACAATCATGAAACGATTGCCATTATCAAGATAGTGAGCATTTCCTTCACCTCAAAAAAGTTTCCTTTGACACTGCTCATACAGAGGTTACAATCTACTAAGAAAGAAAACATTTATGTCATAATATGAGAGACAACACTGGTAATCAGTAATGAGTGTTAAATAATGGTATGGTTGATAAGAGCTATGGTACAGAAATTCAGGAGGGAGAAATACTGTAGGCAAATTGAGAACGGCTTCACCATTTCCTAACTCGTGTATTTTCTTGTCTCTCCCTCTCTTTTGTTTTCAATGATATTGTATGCTGTTTTCAGTGAAGGTTTACATAGCAATTTAGTTTCCCATTCAACAATTTCTACACAAATTGTTCAGTGACATTGGTTACATTCCTCTCAATGTGTGAACATTCTCATTATTTCCATTCTGTTTGTTCTGTTAAAAATATTTTTATAAAGATAAAAAAAAAAAAGCATATAAATCCTTAAGAAAAAGCAAGGTACTATGAAAAAAGAGAACTGGAAAAAAATCTAGAATTCTTGTAAGTGATAAATATGCATATTCACTGACATTAACAATTCAGTGCCAGAGTTAAACAACAGATTATTCCCAGCTGGAGTGACCTAGAAGACAGATCTGAAGAATTACTCAGCTGTAGCAGAGACAGAGAGAAAGAAAATACAAAAGGAAGACTAAGAGACATGGATGACAGAATGAAAAGTTTCATTATATATCTAACAAGAGTTGCAGAAGTCAAGGATAAAAAGGATACAGATAATAGATGAGAATGTTTCAAAACTGATAAAATAAATTTCTATATTAAAAACCATGAGAGATACACTTTGTGTCCAAACATGGACAAAGAGTGAAACTGCAGAACACTGGAAACAAAAATAACTTAAATTAACAGAAGAAATGCAGAAAACAAAAAGCAAATTTCCAATTCAGCAACAACAGAGGTCAGAGGGTAATAGTTTTAACTAGATGAGAAAAAAATGATTGTCAGCCCTGAATTCTACTCACATCTAAACTCTCATTTGAGAGTTAGGGAAAAATAGACATTTTGAGCCAATTAAAGATGACTATCAGACTTCCACTGAAAGAGACATTAAAAGATAAACTTTGGAGAGAAGGAACATGAACCCCATAGGAAGGCAAGAAGCACTGGTGTGTAAATCAATTTGTAAGCACATGGGTAAATCTATATACACTGACCACATAAAACAAAAAATAATAATGAGTGATTTGGGGGGTATAAAAGATTGAAATAAAATCCTAGATAATAACAACATGCAAACATTAAACCACTGTAAGATCTTTGCATTGTTCAGAAGAAGGGTGGCTGTAAGGATTAACTTTAGATCTTGCTAGTTAAGTATGTAAGTTTAAACTTAAGCGTGGCTTCTAAAAAAATAACAGAACAACTTCCAAATTACTGAAGGGAGAAAGGAAGACAAAATATATTCAGTAAGTCCAATAAATGGTAGTAGGAAAAATAAAACCTAACAAACAGAAAAAAAAGAATGGCAGAAATAAACTAGATGCATTTATGATCCCAATAAATATAAATGGACTAAATTTATCAGTTAAAAGATATACTCCTTGCTATACATTTTTTATAAGACTCACTTAAAACAAAACGGAAACAAAAAAGTTGAGAGTAAAGAGATAGGTGGAATAAGAAGATATTCTAGAGAAATACTAACTAAAACAAATATACATGGTATTAATATTAGACAAAACTGAACTTATAGAATGTAGAATTTTAATTGTGTCAAATTTTACAGTTCATCTTATAAACTACTACTTCTCTTTCTAAATACCTAGAAAGACAGCATAAATATACATATAAATGCTATATACACTGTACTTCTCAATCACTAAGAACAACATCTTAATTGGTTATTCAGAGATGGGTCCTATTCTATTCTCCAAATGGCTTTCTCTACAGGCCAACACATCCAAACAGAATTCATCTATGTTGCCCATAGCTGGGCACTGTGTGTACAAAGATAAAACACTCACCTCTGGCCTTGATGTGCTCAAACGCCACACACTGTAATCACTTTCAGGATATAATGAAAAACTGTAACTCCTTATCTAAACTCTTGCTTATCTAAGCACTAAATGCCAAGCTATATAAGGTCAGAGCAATTACTTATCTTCCCTCACACTCTGTCTCTGAAAGTAAAACTTCTCTTTAACAACTAGTGAAGGCCATGATCAACTTTCATCTAATCTCTTCTTAACCCACAGAACAAATTAATCTCTTGATCCGCACTTATCTTAGGTTCTGTTTAAGATCCTGCTATCAATGCTTCCTGACAGCCATCTATTACAATTATTCTGTTGAATCAGAAATTATAAGGCTACAAGGCTCTCAGCTGGCTATTGACTATATAGCTCTGTCCACCTTTAGTGCCAATACACTGCAAAAGGCATAATTCATTACTCTAAATTCCCAGTAATTCTCAGCCCTTGAAAAAATACCTCACTAATGTTAAGAAAGTAGCAGAAGGAAACCACATGAATTTCAAACTATGTGGAGGAAGGGAAAATATTTATTATTGTTTAATATGATAAATACCAAAAAAAAAAAAAAAGTTGAAAAAAGATGGAATCCAAGTCTCCCACTAGTCTCTGCTGTTAAAAACAAAAACGAAACCAACAAAAAAGCCTAAACTAGCTATTCCTGATCTCCTAAGGCAGAAAATGTAATACAACTGGGACACAAAAGGGTCCTCAATGTGCATGAGAGACAGAAAACAGCCCTCATGAGTTTCTTGAATACTAAGTTCCAAATATGACAGCGTGACCTAAAAAATCATAGTTTAGAAAAGAGAAATGTAGGGACTCACTCTGAATATTTTTAAAAACATTTTAAGGAGATAATACTTAATTCTAGAGTAATCTTGTTAAATCTGGTAGGAATTGGCCCACTCCCACAGATCAAGAGGAACAAAAGGCTATGTGACATATTCAAGATTACTTAAGTCAACATTTTAACCTGAATAACAGTTCTTACACTCTGAAATGAGTCAGTGCAATGATACAATCCCATAAAGCATAAGTACACAGCTTTTTCTTAAAGGGGCAGATAGAAAATATTTTAGGCTTGTGGGCCACACAATCTCTTTCTAATGACTCAACTCTGCCATTGTACTGCAAAAGCAGACATAAATAACAGGTAATGAATGAACTTGGCTGTGTTTCAATAAAACTTTATTTACAAAAACAAGCAGTCGGTCCTCACAGTAGTTTTCTGACGCCTGATATATATAGAACCACTTTCAGGCTTCCCCATTCTTTGATCTGTTGCGATCAAAAGAATAGGAAAACAAGATAGAAGTAAAACCACACAGAACCTTCAGCTTTGATAAAGGGTTTCATTACTGACCTAAGAAAATATGACTTTCACACAGTACTTATGGGTCCCCGTTCAACTTACGTCTTTCTATACATGAGAACAGTTGTGTCATTTAAGAACAAAAGTGAAAGTATAAAAGTATTTATCAAATGTTTATTTTCCCACTGTTTAGAAGTTACATTATTAGTCTTAAATAAAACTCTCTGGGAATATAATTTCAAAGGGCATATTTAAGATCACTTACCCATATCTTGCCAGAGATGCTAAAAAGACCAGCCATTCCAGACATTCTAAAAATAAATAAATTAGTTAATAAAGAGAACCACTGGTTACACATACTACAAAAAAGAAACCAAAATTCAAGTCAAAGAGATGACTCCTCTACTGACCCCTCCACTTCTTGCTATGTATTTCCCTCTTTCTGACTCACTTCCATTCTTATAGAGCCTACTCATCATTGGAATCACTCCACTGCATACACATTCAAATTCCTGTAGACTTTTCTCTTTCCATTGGACATACCTAGCTAAACTCCCAACCCTGAGCAGCTGAATGTCACTGGGAAGAAAAAAAAAAAAATCACATGACCAGCTACTAGTCTCTTTTCACAAACCTCAAGGAGCACTCAATACTGCCCAGTCCCACTGCATTTCTTTAGGCTCTGAGATGACGGCAAATTTCCTTTTTGCTCTCTTCAAACCTTACCCATCCTCCCCACCCCATGCACTCTCAGCTATCAAACACTCCTTGTATGTCATTGAGAAATCAGAAGCCAGTATGTGATCTTTCTTATCTCCCCACTACTAAATCTGAGCCTGATATCCACCTGCATCCACCTTCTCATTACTACAAAGACGTCTATCTGCCCTAGAAATCAAAACCCACTGCCGTAGAGTCAATGCCGACTCATCGGACCCTAAAAGATAGAGAACTGCCTCAAAGGCTTTCCATTTACAGATCACCAGGTCTTCTCTCCTGAGGATCACCTAGTGGGTCTGAACCTCCGACCTTTCAGTTAGCAGCCAAGTGCTTAACCACTGTGCCATCAGGGTTATCTGCCCTAAAACCCGTTGCTGTCGAGTCGATTCCAACTCACAGCGACCCTGTAGGACAGAGCAGAACTGCCCCATAGGGTTTCCTAGTCTGAAATCTTTACAGAAGCAGATTGCTGCATCTTTCTTCTGTGGAGCGGCTGGTTAAGCCAAGAGCTTAACCACTGTGCACCCAGGGCTCCTCCACAGTTCAATTCCTCCACTGTGCCTTGGATCTCATTCCTTTTGTCTTGTTAATGACATGGTTCTTTTCAGTCATTCTCTCTTCCTACATTAGCAACTTCTCCCTCTGTGGCATACAAACATGCTCTACTGTCTTCCATGTTTTAAAAATAGCATCCTGGCCCTCCCGTGGCCCTCCAGATTCATAGACAAACTTCTCCAAAAAGTATTCTACACTTGCTATTTCCTCTTTGTCACTAAACTATACATATATATACATATTTTTAACCCATTTAAATCTGGCTTCCACCCTGACTACTGTACTAACACTATTTATATGATGTCCTCATATTGTTTCATTCTATGTCCATGTTTCAGACTTATCTTTCTTCACTTCTTGGTAACATGGGACATAAGCAAATACTCTCCTTCTTAAGCATGCTTTACTCGGCTTCTGGGAAACCACATTCTCCTCTCCTCTTGCCTCAATGGTACTCATTTTTCATTTCCTTTTGCTGTCTCCTACTTTACCTAACCTCGTAATGTTGGGGTCTCTCATGGCTTACTCTTCTCTCTTTCCTTCTGTCTAGGTGATCCCATCCCTTCTAAGGCTTTGAACACTGTCTATATGCTGATGACTCCCAGATTTTTATCTGTGCTCCTGAATTCTTCATGGAGATCTATCTCATGTACTCAACTAGACACCTCTACAAAGAAGTCTGCATCTCAAACTTGTCAAATACAGAATCCTCGATTTTCTTTTGCTCAGATCAGCAACTGGTATCAAAATCCACCAGGTGTTTAAACCAGAGACCCGGAGTTTTTGTGAAACCTTCTTTCCTTCACCTTGGTCAAGTCTACCTTAAAACATTTTATATCAGTCCATTCTCTCCACCCCCACGCTGCCACTCTGATCCAGGCTACCACCAACCCTAGGCTGAGCTCCTAAAACCCCCTTCTGACTGGTATCACCTCATCTGTTCTTGCTCCCTCCAATGTCTTCTGTTAAGAGTCAGTTTCTCATTGCATGTACTGATAAAATCTAAGTTCCTCACCATGGACACAAGGCCCTGGGTGGTCCAGCTTTGGCCTGCCTCTCTTACTCAGCTTGTGGTAGTACCACCTTTCTGCTCCTCAACTACACCAAGCTTTTTTCTAAATTGGAGCCCATGAACATGCTATATCCTCTCCTAGGAATATTCTTCCCCCTATTGTTTTCTTTACCTGGCTTGCACCTTCTATATACTTCATCATCACGGCCAAAAGTTACTCCCAGCAGTATTCTGCTTGGAAGCCAAAGATACCATAGATTTTATTTTTTGCATGAGATACAATAGCAATTTCTTCATGAACTATAATTAAATAAAAAGCTACTCCTCCATTTTATCAACAATTTAAAAAGAAGAAAGAATGGTAAATGTGCTCAATACTAAATTTTTTTCAAGAGAAAATAATCAGCATGACTTATGCAAAAGCTAACGGAGAAGCTTTCTATAACCCACTCAAATCTGGCTACTTAATTTCCAGTATACTAAGAACTAACTGAAACATATGTAGGTAATAAAACTAAAAATACCGCATGGGATAAGCACGGTCATGTGTGGTCTGGGGAATTAGAAAGGAATATGCAGGCTTTCAAGGCCCCAGGGCTGTTAACTTGATACCTCCCACTTTATTAATGACATCTTGTCACTGAAAAAATAACAAGTTACGTTAGAGAAGCCGGGGATTTCCAGCCAGTCAGAGGCTCAACTGATTGCCATTTCTTCTCTACGATATAATTCTGCAAGTCTTCGAAGATTCCCGGGCCCCGGTAACGGCGGAAAATCCCATCCTTTGCACTATAAATTATAAAAACAAATAGAAAATAAATCCATTAAAATAATAGGTGCTACAGATAATAAAAACCAAATTGACTATTAGTTTTATAACTGAACTTCACTCTGAATTTTCATTGGCTAAAATGAAGAAAAAAAATTACAGTCAGACATAAACCAGAAGGCATGCATAAATTTTAATCTATTACAAATGAAAAATTCCAAAGCTGAAAACATTAAACATTCTTTTTTTCACTGCACAATTTGTGACTATAAGCAGAGTTCCTAGCAACGTTTAATCTGCCAAGTTACTTTTCATTATTTTTGCTATTAGTTATTTCAATTTTTCTCTTACAACAGCAAAACAGCAATTGTTATCAAGTTAAAAATAACTGTATCCACATTTTCAAAATTCTGTCATTCGAGTTCCTCCCCTCAAAATCAACAAAGCACCTCTTAGTCTAACATCTCCCTTCAGCCTTCCTTCCCTCTCACCCTCTTGCCATAGCTAAGCTTCCTAGGGGAAGAGTCTTCATTGGCTATTTCTTCCTCTTTATTACTCACTCACAACTTGGTACGAATGTGAGCTCTCTAAGTGCCATATCCATGGAGTACTTTTCTGCCAATTTTACTTCATCTGTGTTTGGCAACGTCCACTATTGAACACCCATACCCCTTTTTTCCTCCTCTCCTGTGGCTTTTTTGACATGACCATTTGGACTTCTCCCTACTACTCTAACCATCCCTTCTTAGTTTCCTTGTCATCCTTTGCAGATAAACTAATGTTGGTCAATCCCAGCTTCTATGCTTGACCTGTTTCTTTTCCCATTATATCTGTTTTCTCTACATATATTTCAACCGTTATCTACCTCAATGCTGATGAATTCCCAATATGTATTTCCAGTCTAGATCTTTCCTCTGAACTCTAGATCCTGACCAAAAAAAAAAGTCACTTGAATTTCTCCATTTGGAATTAGCATGGGCACTTTACACTGCGTCTCTTTTCCCTTCTGGCTCTATCTTCCAAACCTCATCATATTCTAATAGTTCCCTAGCTTGAAGTATGGCAGTAGCTTTCATTGGTTACACATGGCCTGATTAAAGTCATCATTGACTCTTCTTTCCCTATGGTTAACCAGTCACCAAGTCCCACTGATCCTACCTTCTAAGTATCTCTGAAATCCATCCTTTCTTTTCTCTTTACAACATCACCACCCTGAGCCTCTCTAGCCTCATCATCCAGATGACCCAATACCCTATGGGCCAACCATACAAAACTAGTTACAGTTCTCACAAGGTGCAGCATTTTCTCCTGGGCTTTTCCATGCTACCTCCTGTATCTGGAAAGGCCTTCTCCACCTTGACTGCTTAACCAATCCCTGCTTATCTATTAAGAATCATCCTATCTTTTATATCATCAGAAAAATCTTCTCTGACCCCTTCTCCCCATCTCATTCCTGCATGAAATTAGGTTCTCTTTCTCTAGGCACACCTCTCTTCTGATAGCTATCACTCTATGCAGTTCGGTCTTTCTCCCCTCACGTTAAGATGAATGAATGGTTGTTATGGAAAAAAACTAAGCATTCCTGATACACATCAATTGCTTCTACGTAAGACCAGAATATTATTTAAACTTACTGAAAAAATGCTGGTAGTGTGGTGACAAAGAAGCGGCCACTCAAACCTATAAGAAGCATAAACAAGAAATAAAGTCAAACTCAGTGTAATCCAAGCACTTATTTAAGTTCCAAGAACAAGCAGCCTTGAGCTTGCTTTCATAATCATATTATTTAAATCATTAAATGTTTCAATCACATTTAATATTTATTTTTTTGACTTAAATTTGATTTTTAACCATTTCTATTTACCTAACACTTTTCAGTCACTGACATGCAATTCACTTATCTTCCATGTGTTACCCTGGAGTTTTTTTGGCTTGAACCCATTTAGGATTGCGTGGTGGTTGAGAGGATAGGTTTGGAGTCATACAACATGGGATAAATACTAACCTCCCCTTTTAATAGCTCTGTGAATTGAAATAAATTACTGAAAAGAGCTTCAGTTACATCAACTGTAAAATGGAAGTTTTAAAGCCTATCCATAGGATTGTTCTGAAGTTAGATTAGGTCAAGTGTACAAAGTGCTTGGCCCAGTGTGTGGCACAATGTAAAGAACTCAATAAATTATAGGTATTAATTATTGCATAAGTTTTTAAAAAGAATAAAGAGTATGAAATAATAATAAGATCTTGTACCATCTTTGCACATTTATAATTTGCAACTACTGTCAAGAGAATATATGTACAGTAAACATTTTTTTTTCAATTTGTCTTAGCAAACCTTTACTGAATACTAACTATATGTTAAGTACTATGCTGGATACACACAAATAAAACCCTTAAGTCACTCAGCAAATATTTACTAAGCATCTTTTTTGTTCCAGGGACTGTGATAAGTGTTCAAGACACACAGATAAACAAAAATATGTATAGTTTCTGTTCTCTCACAGAGCTTAGAGTCTAGCAGTAGAGAAAAATAATCAACTAATCACAATCATGACTGAAAACTAAAATGGATGATATGAAGAAAAGGGTTATGAACAAAAACCTGAATAAGATGTTTACAAATAAATAATATGTGGGCATCAAGAGGGAGTACACCTGATTCTGACAAAGAAAAGGAGAGCTAAAGGATCCTCCCAACCACAGGGAAGGTTTCTTTGGGCTATCCCAGCATGGAAAAATGACAGAGACATCATTTTAAAACTTCTCATCACTTCTGTCTTTCTCCCCCAAGAACAATCTGGATAAAATCAAACATTATCCATTTAAATCAAGTCACTCAAATTTTACATCTTTCTGGTCACCAATTTGAAATTTGAAGTTTTACTTCTAATAAAATGGGAAATTTGCTTTCCTTCCACTTATAAAGTATAATAATGTATTAATTGACAATGACTGTTCCCAAAGGATCCTTTTTTTTTCCCCTCATATCAAACAACAACACACAAACACACAAAACAAACCTTTTGTTGTTGAGTCAGTTCCAACTCATGGCAACCCCACGTGTGCAAAGGAGAACTGCACTCCACAGGGTTCTCAAGGTTATAATCTTTTAGAAGCAGATCACCAGACTTTTCTTCCATGGGTTCAAACTGCCAACCTTCAATTAGACTCAAGCACTTAACCGATTGTGCATGCCACCCAGGGACCCCTATATCAGACCAAGTGGACTCTAAAACATCCCTATGGCGCTTAAAAGGAAACAAAGTGCTCTGAGGGTAAAAAGGCAATGTTACAAAAACAAACATTTTCTCTATACCTTTATCATTGTACATTAAACAACAAAAGTTTTATTACTGGCAATACAAAAACACAAGTGACCTAAGGAGAAGTCAACTAAGGATTGTAACAAGCTCTCTGTCCACAGGGCATTTTTCACCTTTAACATTGCTTGCAATTCCACCCTAGCAGGGAACAAGTAGATCTTTTAGTATATTTCCAACTGTAAATTTTCAGGGGGAAAAAGTATTAGGATTCCTAAGTGTTTAAAAATTATCAGATGCTTTGGTTTAGAAATAATTACTAGCAATAGTTTCATATCTCACCTCTCTCTTAGCTACAGATTCTTACAACCACTCAAAAATTTCATCTAAGGTGAGTTATTAAGTTCAGGAATTACACTTTGTTCATATGGTCTTTTAAAACAGAATGAACAAATAAATAGTATTCAGTCACTTCTTAACGTTATGTAGATTTTATTTTTATCAGAATGATCAGACAGGGTTTCTAATAAATGTTAAGCATCACTTAAAACAATTTTTTTTTAGCTTGTTCTTTTAGATCCTACATAAATTCTTGGTCATCACTGGCCATGGCAAAAAAAATTAATTTTTAAAAATTTTATAAAACGCATTTAATTATATACTAGAAAAACAGTATTTCCAGATATAAACACACCTGGCTGCATTTAGTTTTCTTTCAAGCATTCCTGTCTTATATATTACAGACAGAGGAAAAGCACAGGGACTCCTCGAGCTAGCCTGATTGAGGTCAAGCCCCAGCTCTGTGTCTTACTAGGTTTCATCTGGGGCAGTCACTTAAATGATTTTATATTTATAAAGCATAAAGACCACAGTGTCTGCCATACAGTAAGTACTCCGTGGATTGTGGCACACTACTAAGCCCCTGAAGATCCAACACCACAGGAAATTCAGAGCAAGATAAATGCGACTTCCGAAAGACTGAAAGACGTCAGATAGCTCCAGTTCTCATCTCAGTGCCCTGAAAATGTCCCTATCTTTTATACTGTTGCTATCATGTGTCAAGGGAAACTTTCATTGCCTGGATTTTTAAAACATGACCACCTGGAATAGAGAAGCACTATCTGAGGTTCTAAGGTTGCAGTTTCAGGGTATAAAAACAAATTAGGTGTGTATCTTAACAAAGAATTATAACAGCACTACAGTAACTCATTTCAAGGTTTCAGTAATGGTTCACTTCAAGAACTTCAGAAAGTATGAAAGAAACCAGTGCCTTTTTAAACCTTTAAATAAACCACAAGTCTCCCAAAATTTCTGCACGTCTTTTGTACTTCAAGGTTAACTTCCACTTTAAAACGATGACTCTATTGCAACATAAAAAGGCCATAAATCTAGAATGCCAAAAAAGTTTTAATATCAGCAAACTTATCTTAAATATATACAGCAAAACAAAAAGAAGAGTTAAAAGGTTAGAGGAAGAAGATAAATTATAGTATGAAATTACATGTTGATGTGCAAAAATAAAAGAAATTAAACCTCAACATTAAGAAAATAGGGATAGCTAATAGCATTTGTTCTACCGCTTGTTAGCTGTATTGCCTTGGCATGTTACTTAACCTCTCTGAGCCTTGGTTTTGTGAGTAATTTGGAGATGAACAGTGTGTTCTTCACAGAGCTGCTGTGAAGCTAAAATGCATGTAAGTTCTTAACATGATGACAGGCTGAAGTAAATGCTCACTAAATGTTAGTTATTAACACCAAAGACAGTAGCAGAAGGAAAACACAATAAAAAGTAGAACTAACCTTAACTTTGAGATTGAAATAGAGTTGTTAATAGAATACAAAAAGACTAAATTTTACTATTTATAAAATTAAAAATAAAACTCTAAAGTACAGTAAACTAAGTTGGCTTCTGTAATAAATTCAGGGTTTTAAGTACAATGCTTATTCTTCACCTTGGTAGAGGTCTGGTTTACATCTAATCACCCACAGGTACACTATAAGCAGCTGCTGTTTTCCTGTCCTTGACAACCAAGCTCATCTGCATGGAACAGAAGGTTCAAGTACATACACATTAAATTTAATTTCCCAAAGTCAGCTCAACTGGTTTATAAAGTATGAAACATGCAATGTAACACAAACTAATCCATAGGCCTGTCCTTTCTTTGACTTCTACATCTCAGTTGTAAAACTGCAGCATGTTTATAATCCCTAGTTTTATCATTTCAAAATCTTATTTTCTGTTATAATTAAAATCTTATTTAAAATACCTAAAAGAATCTCTTATGAGATAAACTGATGGAAAAGTTATAGACATAACCAAACAGTACAGATGAACATTAAAATATTCTTCCTGTATCCTCTTCTTAAATTTTACTTCCTGAGAAAAAGAAAATTCTCCCTCTCTAGATACTTCGGCGACAAGGGAACCATGATGAAAGAATATACTAATGATATCTGTTACCAAATTGAAATTTGTATACAGCAATATCCAGTAAAGTGTTCAACTGTGGGGAAATAGAGTAGTTCAATGGTTTTCCACTGTTTAATCAGGATCTTAAATTTATTAAAAAGAAATAAACACTTACTCTGCTTCCAAGAATAGGGGCAAGCTGCCACAGAAGCTTGCCAGTGAGTTAGTGCCACACAAGACAACCTCTCTTCACTTGGCTTCCAGGACATCCTACTTCTCCATCTCCCTCTTACCTCACTGGCTTCTCCTTTTCCTCTGCTGGAACTTCTTCCTTTTTTTGTCTTCTAAATGTTGGAGTACCCTAGCTCTCAGTTCTTAAAACACTTATCTAGCACCCACTCTCTGGGTAATCTCAGCGCTTCCCTTGGTTAGAAATACAATCTACACTGATGATCCTCAAATTTGTATCTCTAGCTCATTGCTATTTGGCTGTCTCTTAAATATCCTGAACTTAACCCCTGCCCCAAACCTGATCCTTCCTCAGTTTTCTCCATTCCCTCTTTCTACCACATCCTATAACCAATCCATCAGAAAATCCTTTTGGATATTCCAGCTAAATGTACCCATCTCAAATCCAACCATTGAGCACTGCAGCTATTGCTAGCACTCTAGTCTTAAGCCACCATCTTCTCAACTCTGGACTACTGTATTAACCTCCCAACTACTCTCCTGCTTCCACTTCTGACTTCCTACAGTCAATTTTTCACACAGCAGTCAAAGGGACTCTTAAAACATAGATCAGATCATGTCACTGCCCTGCTCAAAACTTTCCAGTAGCTTCTTTCCTATCACATTTCAGATAAAATCTAAACTCCTTGCCAGAGCCAACAAGACCCTACATGATCAGATCCCTAGCCACCTCACTGGCCCTGTTTATCTCTAATACCACACTGGCGTTCATACCATTCCTCGAATAAGCCAAATACACTCCCACCTGCACATGCAGCTCCGTCTGCCTGCCAGGCGCCTCCTCTAGAGCTTGCTGATGTTCACTTTCTCAGTGTATCAAAACCTCTGCGCAAACAGTCCTTCCCTGCCCACCCTATTTAAAATAGTGGCCCCCATCATTTTTACTCTGCTTTATTTTGATTCAGAGCTCTTAGCACCATCAAACATTAGGTTACATCCGGTTACATTTTATTTTTGTTACTGTTTATCTCCTTCACTAGAATGTAAGCTCAATGAGGGGTCAAGACTTTGTCCTCCTTATTCACCTTTGTGTCACTGGTATCTAGAATAGGGCCTGAAGCATGGCAGGCCTCCAGTATTTGTTGAATAAACACATACAATTTCTAAACCCTATAAAAGATTAAATTGAAAGCATTAGGTTTATAATTATAACTTAAAATAGTATAATATGAAGTGAAATATTTTCTAGGCCTCTCAAACAATCATGCATGTAGAATTTTGTTTTCTAATTTTTATTTATGAGCTACAGTTCTCAAGTTTTTATCATTCAAAAAAATAATTCTAGAACCCATGCGCCTTTTAGGAAACCCTGGTGGTGTAGCGGTTAAGAGCCACGGCTGCTAACCAAAAGGTCAGCAGTTCGAATCCACCAGGTGCTCCCTAGAAACCATGTGGGGAAGTTCTACTGTGTCCTATAGCGTCGCTATGAGTTGGAATCAACTCGGAGGCAATGGGTTTGGGTTTGGTTGTGGTGCACACTTTTTAAAAATTTGTTCTAATACATAAAACGATCATCTCTTTTTTTGGATTTTGTTTCTTCTCCTTTCTTCTTGATGTATATTTCAAGTATATACAGCTTATATTATGTAAACACTACATATATCACTGCTGATTTTGTGTTTAACATATTTCTTCATAATTAATTTCTCTCTCACTTCATTATCAAAAAAGTACTTAATCCAGTCACAATGGAAAAATGGCTGCAAGTCTACATTTTAGATAGAAAGACTATATTCAATCAGACTTTAGATTTGTGAATCCATCATAAGGATAACTGTTTCTTTTAATTTAAATCATGCTGTGAATTTATGTCAGGTAGATGAACTCAAATGACTGAAATGTGAGTAGGCCAGCTGCATTTCTAACAAATCCATCACAGAATGTGTTTGGTGCTCACTAATTGACAAGGTGCACACCTGATTTCAAACTACTAAAAGATTTAAGTTTTCAGCAAAAATGTAATTGCAATGACTTATCTTCAAACAGAATAACTGACTATAACAGCCAAAAAAAACCAGGAACTAGTAACTATAATGTATCTGTCTCTAAACAGCAGATGGACAGAGGCAGCTTTGTTTCCAAGCTTAAAAAGATGAAGGATTAAAGACGCATAGTTTTTTACAAAAATCTCTCTCCATGGGCTTGTAGACACATGGATCTTAACAAACACCATCCATTTTGTTGTCCAGGGAGTTGGTAATTGATTACTTTGTGTTTACTGAATTAATAGTTATTACATAAAAGTGAATAGCTACACTTCCATACCTAACTTCTTCTTTTTCATAAGGAGATACAATGGGTAAAAACTGATGTAGATGGGATGAGATGACAGATAATCTATAGAATAAAAATAATTTCTTCACGAAACTTGAAAATAGCCAAATTTTAGAGATTTGGATCATAATAGCCCGATTTTTCTTCTCAATTTATATATAATATGTAAAGTTATTTTTAAACACAAATTTACTGTGCCTATCTTTTCAGAATGTAAAAGAGTTTCCTCTCTCTCCCTTTACTTTTTGGGGTAAAAGTGACCCTTTTTTTTAATCTCTTTAAAACGTTCAGCATTCACAGCTAATAAATGTAGATAGCAGAAAAAAAAAAAAACTGTTGAGTTGATTCCGACTCATAGCGACCCTACAGCGCAGAACAGAACTGCCCCATAGGGTTTCCAAGGCTGTAAATCTTTAGAGAAGCAGACTGCCACATCTTTCTCCTATGGAGTGTCTGGTGGGTTCAAACTGCCAAGCTCTCAGTTAGAAGTCAAGTGCTTTAACCACTGCACCACCAGAGCTCCAATAAATGAAGCTAGAACGACAAAATTAGAAATTCACCATACCAGAATTCACTGTGAAATATAAGATTCAGAAAAGATCATCATGGACACAACCTCAAAGTATCACCCCACAGATTACCTGCTAATTACAAATTGAGGGTGTTTCTTTATAACTGAGATGTCTGGTGTCACCGCCTTAACCAAGCACTCAAACTTAACATCATTAATGGTGACAGTACGTGCCTTCTGATGGGATGCAATATGAAGTCACAGCAACACTTCTTAGTATTCTTGTCATAAATTTCTAACCTGAATCTACTCATGCCTCTTGGCCAAACTTTTAGTTTACAGAAAACGGAAGAACAAGGTAAATGTCACCACAAGGAAACACTTGGGCAAATCCTGGCCTGTTCTCTTCAAAATGTCAGTGTCACGAAAAACTAACAAGACTTAACAACCAGATGCAATTTATGAACCTTGATTGGATTGTGCTTCAAAAAACTATGAAAAGACATATGGGGGACAACTAACCAAAAAAGACCCAAAACTGTTGCCATTGAGTTGATTCCAACTCATGGTGACCCAACGTGTTACAGAATAGAACTGCTCCATAGGGTTTTCTTGGCTACAGTCTTTACAAAAGCAGATTGCCAGGCCTTTCTTCTGTGGCACTGCTGGGTGGGTTCAAGCTGCCAACCTTTAGGTTAGCAGCCGAATGCAAACTGCTTGCATCACCCAGAGTGAGGGATAAACAGGGACAATGGAATATGCAGAAGTGCTGAAGGTTAAAGTGTCATGATGTCTGCAGCCTACTTTCAAATGGTTCGGCAAAAAGAAAAAAAATTAAAAATAAATAATACAAATATAAATATATATACACATACACATATACTAGACAGACCCAGAGATGCCAAAATCTTATCTGTCGAATCAAGGTGGTCAGTTCACAGGTAAATCAGTATTCTAGTCTTTCAACTTTTCTGTATGCTTCAAAAATTTCAAAATGAAAAATTGGAAACAAACTTCGGCATTTATTGTTCAACATTTACACTACCTGGTTCTTGAATGACATCTACCTTCCCCACGCTAATCTGAAGTATTTCACCATTCCTGGCAAATGTCTCCCATTCGGCATCGGTCTGCTGGCAAGATGGACACCAAGGGGCATAACTGTAAGAGAAGCAGAGCAAATCAGTATAAACATATAGAAATTAGTCTGTAGAACAAAATAGAGTATTTACATTTTTAAAAAGTTCTTAAGTATAAAATCAAACTTTTCCAAAGTCATGTGATACAGAAATACAAAAGTACATTTTCTCCCTAAGACTTAACGCATAAAAATAAATTCTTCAGAAAAAAATTTAGCCAAAGTTTGAGAGGATTTTTATAAATTATTGTAATGCATAAGATATTTTATTTCAATGTTATTCTTACATTGAAATTTTGAAATTTCAAATTTCAACCCCAATGTTGTCACTTTCCAGATAGCTTTTGATCCTTGAGGGCGAACACTGTTTTGAAAGCCCCACTAAAGGTGTCCCTAAACTAGCCAAACCAGTTTCAGATACATCTAAACTATAGACCTGATGGGCAGAGACCAGACAATCTGTTGCTAGTGTATCCTGAAGAATGTGAGTCATTTCCAAAGATATGTGGCAACTCCAAATTACTCAAAGAAGGAAAATAGACACTGTAGGCTAAATCAGCTCTACCAGACAAATTCTTAAATAGAAAAGGAGCTAGAAATATCTGGGCCTTCAAGCCTATAGGCTGATTTTTACATTTATTTTTTTCTCATTCAGTAAAGATGAATTGAGCATCATGCTAGAGCTGAGTTGAACTTGATGGTTCCTCTTCTTGTGGATTGTACAATCCAGAGATAAATACAGATGAGCACAGGGGTAAATAAAATCATGCTCAGCAAATAATCAGAGAAGCTAGGCTATATGAAGAAGAACACGGCATCAGGATTAGAGAAGATTCACTAACAACCTTCAATATGCAAATGATACAACCTTGCTTGCTGAAAGCGAAGAGGACTTGAAGCACTTATTGATGAAGATCAAAGACCACAGCCTTCAGTATGGATTACATCTCAACGTAAAGAAAACAAAAATCCTCACAACTGGACCAATAAGCAACATCATGATAAACAGAAAAAAGATTGAAGTTGTCAAGGATGTCATTTCACTTGGATCCATAATCAACTCCCATGGAAGCAGCAGTCAAGAAATCAAACAGTGAGAAGATAAAATACTTAGGAATAAATCTAACCAGTGATGTAAAAGACCTATACAATGACAACTACAAGACACTACTGCAAGAAACCAAAAGAGACCTGCATAAGTGGAAAAACATACCTTGCTCATGGATAGGAAGACTCAAGATTGTGAAACTGTCAATTCTACCCAAAGCGATCTACAGATACAGTGTAATCCCAATCCAAATTCCACTGGCATTTTTTAATGAGATGGAGAAACAAATCACCAACTTCAGATGGAAAGGGAAGAGGCCCCAGATAAGTAAAGCATTACTCAACAAGAAGAACAAAGTGGGAGGCCTCACACTACCTGACTTTAGAACCTATGATACCGCCACGGTAGTCAAAACTGCCTGGTACTGGTACAACGGCAGATACACAGACCAATGGAACAGAATTGAGAATCCAGACATAAATTCATTCACCTATGACCAGCTGATATTTGACAAAGGCCCAAAGTCCATTAACTGGGGAAAAGACAGTCTCTTTAACAAATGGTGCTGGCATAACTGGATATCCACCTGCAAAAAACTGAAACAAGACCCATACCCCACACCACACACAAAAACTAACTCAAAATGGATCAAAGACTTAAATATAAAATCTAAAATGATAAAGATCATGGAAGAAGAAATAGGGACAACGCTAGGAGCCCTAATACATGGCATAAACAATACAAAACACTACTAACAGTGCACAAACACCAGAAGAAAAACTGGATAACTGGGAGCTCCTAAAAATCAAACACTTTTGCTCATCAAAAGACTTCACCAAAAGAGTAAAAGACAACCTACAGACTGGGAAAAAATTTTTTGGCTACAACAAATCCAATCCGCATCTTATCTCTAAAATCTACAAGATACTGCAAAACCTCAACAACAAAAAGACAAATTAAATTAAACCCAATTAAAAAATGGGCAAAGGATATGAACAGGCACTTCGCCAAGAAGACATTCAGGCAGCTAACAGACGCATGAAGAAATGCTCATGATCATTAGCCGTTAGAAAAATGCAAATCAAAACTACAATGAAATACCATCTCACCCCAATAAGGCTAGCATTAATCCAAAACACACAAAATAATAAATGTTGGAGAGGTTGTGAAGAGACTGGAACACTTATACACTGTTGGTGGGAATGTAACATGGTACAACCACTTTGGAAATCGATTTGGCACTTCCTTAAAAAACTAGGAATAGAAATACCATAGGATCCAGCAATCCCACTCCCTGGAATATGTCCTAGAGAAATAAGAGCTGTCAAACAAATAGATATATGCACACCCATGTTTATTGCAGCACTGTTCCTGACAGCAAAAAGATGGAAACAACCTAGGTGCCCATCAACGGACAAATGGATAAACAAATTATGGTATAGTCACATAATGGTATACTATGTAACAATAAAGTACAACAATGAATCCATGAAACACCTTATAACATCGAGGCATCTGGAAGGCATTATGATGAGTGAATTTAGTCAGTCACAGAAGGACAAATATCGTATAAGACCACTATTATAAGAACTCAAGAAAAGGTTTAAACACAGAAGAAAACATTCTTTGATGGTTACGAGAGTGGGGAGGGAAGGCGAGGGTTATTCACTAACTAGACACTAGACAAGAATTATCTTAGCTGAAGGGAAGGACAGCACACACTACAGGGGAAGTCAACACAACTAAACCAAAGCTAAGAAGTTTCCTGAATACAACCAAACACATCGAGACAGAGTAGCAGGGGCGGAGGTCTGGGGTCCATGCTTTCAGGGGACATCTAGGTCAACTGGCGTAACAAAGTTTATTAAGAAAATGTTCTGCATCCTACTTTGGTGAGTTGCATCTGGGGTCTTAGAAGCTGGCAAGCGGCCATCTAAGATGCACCAATTGGTCCCAACCTACCTGGAATAAAGGAGAATGAAGAATACCAAAGACACAAGGAAAGTATTAGTCCAGGAGACAGAAAGAGTCACATAAACCCTGAGACTCCATCAGCCTGAGACCAGAAGAACCAGATGGTGCCTGGCTATCACCAATGACCTCCCTGACAGGGAACGCAACAGAGAGTTCCAGATGGAGCAGGAGAAAAGTGGGGTGCAGAACTCAAATTCTAGTAAAAACAGCAGACTTAATGGTCTGAGACTGGAGGAACCCCAGAAAGCATGGCCCCCAGACTCTCTGACAACCCAGAACTAAAACCATTCCCGAGGTCAACTCTTCAAAGATTAGACTAGACTATGTGACATAAAATGATACTCGTGAAGAGTGTGCTTCTTAGCTCAAGCAGATACATGAAACTAAACGGGCAGCTCCTGTCCAGAGGTGAGATGAGAAGGCAGAGAGGGTCAGGAGCTGGTTGAATGGACACGAGAAATCAGGGGTGGAAAGGAGGAGTCTGCTGTCACCGTATAGGGAGAGAAATTAGGGTCACATAACGATGCATGTGTAAATTTTTGTATGAGAGATTAACCTGAATTGTAAACTTTCACTTAAAGTACAATAAAATAAAATATGATAATAAAAAAATAAAGATACCAAAAAAAAAAAAAAAACAAAAAACATATTGCATTGGGCAAATCTGCTGCAAAAGGCTTCTTTAAAGTGTTGAAAAGTAAAGATGTCACTTTAAGGACTAAGGTGCACCTGACTCAAGTCACTGTATTTTCAATCACCTCATATGCATGCAAAACTTAGACAATGAATAAGGAAGACAGAAGAAGAACAGAAGCCTTTGAATTACGGTGTTGGAGAAGAATACAGAATATACCATGGACTGCCAGAAGAACAAACAAATCTGTCTTGGAAAAAGTACAGCCAGAATACTCCTTAGAAGTGAGGATGATGAGACTTTGTCTCACTTACTTTGGACATGTTATCAGGAGGGACCAGTCCCTGGAGAAAGACATCGTGCTTGGTAAAGTAGAGGGTTAGCAAAAAAAAGGAAGACCCTCAATGAGATGGACTAACACAGTGGCTGCAATGATGGGGCTCAAACATAGCAACGACTGTGAGGATGGCACAGGACTAGGCACTGTTTCATTCTGCTGTGACATAGGGTCGCTATGAGTCAGACTGACTTGAGGGCACCTAACAACAACAAAACTACGATCAGTTGTAGCGAATACACATCAGGAAGTTGTACAAGATACTAAGGGGACACAGAGCCGTTGATTTTGGAGGGACTAACAGAGAAAGAAACATCTGTGCTAAGATGTGAAGTAGGTGTAACAGCTACAGAGGGTCAAGTAATGTTCTAATCTAACTAGAGACATTAGTATGTGGAAGACTCAGAATTTAGAGAGGAAGGGGAAGGCATCATCCATGGTCTTAAAAAAAATGGTACAGGGAATTAGGACTTTATTCAGAGCTAAAGAGTTGTGAGAATTATCATAAGATTTACATTTTAGAAAGATTACTCTGGCAGTTATGTGTAAAATGGATCAGAGAAGTACAAGATGAAGAGATGAAATGGAAAACTGGGCAGTCATCCTGGCAATATTTTAGTGGCCTCACTTTGTACTCCACGGTCCTAAAGAGCATCACAAATACTGAGACCATAAAGCTCTGAAGTGGTCCAGGATTTCACCTGCAGACGATGGAACAAACAGGCACCCAGAGAGTCTGCTGCTTGGAAAGGAAGATGGTATCACTTGAAATTAGAAGGAATTGTGATGAGATAAGCCTTATGGAGGTTTACAGAGCTGGCAGGGCTATGCTTTACATGAAATATTGCAGGCAAACAATAACATATACTAGAAATCCAGTTTAAAATACTAGCATATGACACAATTAAAAGAAAAAATAACATTTACAGAAAAATGTCACAAAAATATATTTGATAGAAGTGGAAAACATTTTGTTTTGCTTAATAATACCCAGAAGAAAAAAGTGGTTAAACAAAATAGTCAATGCTTA